CCCTGGGGCTGTAGCAGTGGCTATGGGCTGACCAAGGAAAAGTGAGGCCATCAGGGACTTCTTTCCCAAGTGGCAGCATGGAAGGGCACAAACAGGTCATCAGGATGGCAGAGAGAAGCAGTTGTGGCTGAGAGTGGTCATGGATCACCTCCACAGGGCAGGGCTGGGCCATGCAAGGGTCCGAGGGACCAAGCAAGGCTGAAGAATGTGCCTCTGCCTGCTGCTTTTCTCTTAGAATGGATAGGGAAGAAGGTGGTAGGAAAAAGCCAACCCAACACAACTGATAAATGCAGGAAGGATTTTCTTTCTCCATGTCCTTTCCTCTGTGCACGATGGGACCGTTATGCTGCAAAAGCAAGAAAACCTGCTACATCCAATGTGATCCTGAGCAACCCCTGCTCCGACTAGGACTGGTCTTTTCCTTTCATGGATACAGAAAAGGTGATGCCTAGCTCATCTCCCCAGCTGTCTGAGATCACACAGACCCTCCTTTTTCCCGATTTCTTGGGGGTCCAGCCAGGCATTTGGAAACACACACTTGCAGGTTTAAAACCTATGAATGATTGCAAATGAAGGTTCTGGCTGAATATGTGCCAGCAGCTCCGTGCCGCCCCTGTGCTGCACAGTTATTATCCATGCAGCGCAGGCAGCTAATAAAAATGATCATTAAATTAACCCCAGCACTTTCCCGGAGCTAAAGATGACAATTCTGGTTGATGCAGCATCTCTTCAAACGACTGGAGGTTGCTGCATTCCCTGTAGACTGTTTCTCCAGGCTTCAGAGAGGGAATCTTCCTCCAAATACCTGCTCAAAAAGTCTGTCATACTTGTCCTCTATCAGAGCCCTGCCCTGGCACGGTCTGTGTGAATATCTGGGGAAGAACCAGGGGTGAGAGCTTGTTGTCAGAGTGCAGGAAGAAGCCTGTGATTTTAGAAAGGGAGGAACTTACGGGCGCAAAGTGGGAAAGGGAAGGATAAATTGTGCGAGAGGAGTGAGAAAACATGTGCGACGTGCTGTGAGTCAGTGCTGGATTTGCAGGCAGAGGAGGAAAGCTTTGCTAACAAGGACTGAATCCTTGCGGCTGGCTGGCTTAGGCTTCAGCAGCTAAACATGTTTCCAAAGTGAGACAGGAGCAGAGGGCACTGTCACTCTCTGTGAGCAGAATGACGGGAGAGCAGATGTGAGAGGAAGCTGTCCCAGCAGGGATAGGCACAAGAACCATTCAGAGCCTGAAAGGGCAGAAAAGAATACAACCCTCATGCGTCTGGGGGGAGGATCAAACACCACAGCAGGCTTTGTCTCGTCACATCTGAGCTAACCATCCAGGTTTCCCTCCACTGCCAGGGTGAGGCACTGAACCACGTTGTAACCAGGGTGGGAAGGGACCCCTGGGAGTCTCTGGTCTAGCCCCCTACCCCAAGAAGGATGTCAATCATCTGCTCAGCACCTTGTCCCATCCACTGTCTCACAGGATGGAGATTGCCCATTTCTCTGGGACCCTGTGGTACTATTTGATCTCCCTCACAGGACAATTAATTTTCCTAACATCTAGTCAGAACTGTCCTCCTTGCCACTTGCATTTTGGCCTCTCAGTCCATCACTCTGCATCTCTGAGTCTGTACCTTCCTGTGAGGTAGTGAAGAAAACAAGGAGGTCCTCAGTTTAGCCTTCCCCTGAAGCCTGAAACCCAGCTTCTCTCACCCTCTCCTCCTACGTCAGGTGCCTGAACTCCCTCAATCTTTTTGGTGGCCTTCACTGGACTCATTCCAATTATTCAGTGGCTTTCCTGTATTTGGGACTCTGCAACCAGACATAGTTCCAGGCCCAAAGCAGAGACCTACCTGTTCTGGACACCCTTCTCAGGTGGGCTGGGCTCTGCTCTATCAGATCAACATGCCAAGAGATTGGGCTCATGGTGAAATAATGTGTAATTCATATGCTGGGGCTTGAATTCAGGTTTCCTGAAGCTGTGGGACCTGAAAGTCCTCCTCCTCCTTCCAGAGAAAGGGATGGGAGCAGGAGAATGCTACACTGTGTCCTCCCAGCTCAGCATCCTCCCTCCCACATTTGGGCAGCAGCCAGGGCGCAGTGAAGGGTGTGAGATCAGGGCACGCACACTGAATATTCTTATGTCCCTCAAACACTTCTTGAGCCAAAGGTAGTGTCTTCATCCTACATAAACCTCAGGAGATTTTTCCTTCCACACATTTGTCCTGTGGATTTTATTAACCCCTACTGAGCAGCCACAGCTGTGTGTGGGAGCATCTTAATGCATCTCCCTTTTACTGAGTTTACCTCCTGCTAATTTCACTTGATGCCCCCGGTCATTCTCCTCGTCCCTCACAGCTGTGTATGCCTCAGTCATGGCACCTCAGTTCATTCTCCCAGGCTGAAGAGTCGCAGTCTATGTAGTTGTTCTTCATGCAGCAGCCAGGCTGGACCTTGGCTCATCCTTGCTGACCTTCTCTGTGGTTTAGGTTTTGGGGTTTTTTTGGGGTCTACTGTACTCTGTTAGAGATGGATTATTCCTAAGTGGCATTAGCCAACACAGAGCCCACTGCTGCCTATCTAAAATGACTATTGTGCTTTCCCCAATGGATCCTGTTGTTTTTTTATGCAATTTCATCTGCTATTTCACTGTTGCAGGGTTCAAATTGTGAACAATTTCCATTGCATTTCTGTAGGCCTTGCTTGACATGACTAGAAGCTGTAAGCTGTAATGTTTATGCTTATAGACTGTGTGAAAATATGCAATGTTTATACTTGTTAGCTGTGTGTCTAATTATAAGGTTTGAGAACATAGTATGTTTAGAGCAAGAAAGCCTTGAGAAAGTATAGATAAGGGTGCACCTGCAGATTTCAGAAAGTTCCTAATTATGAAGGCCTCTACATGCCAAGTATGATTTCAGATCGCGTGGACAGAACATCAGGTCCAATGAACTGGAGACATGAGGCGCGTGTACAGTCTGAGCTATCCAATCACCTTGTTGTAAGCATGTGCCCCAAACAAACTAAACTGTATAAAAGTTGACTTAATTAAATAATAAATGGAACATATGGCTGACCACATTGGCCTGTATGCCTTATGTTTATACCCCTCCATCAATATTTCACTGCCTGGAGAAGACAAGGTCTTCAGTCAGCCTTCTGGGACCACCTTTCCTTATATTTCTTAGGACCACATCCAAATGTCTTAAGAGGTCCATCTCCTTTGCCAAGATTAAGTATCTTCTCTGGTATTCAGCCATTTACATGCCTAATAATGTGATCATCTGCCACCATAGTGCACCCCAAAACCTGTATGGGTGATGCACACACTGTCTGTGTCCGTGCACACCCTTGTGCCAGTGCCTATCCAAAGTCACCCTCCAAATCACAGTGTTAGCTGGGGAAAAGGAATCAGGAGTGTCCCGCTCCAAGTGATCCATCACCTGCCCCCGATTGCTGTTGCATCCACTGCCTCTCCTGCCCCAGGAGGATCAGCTCAAATCCTGTTCTCTTTCCCAGTCTGGAGCAATTTGCCATCATCTCCCTGCTCCTGCAGCAATCACTGCTGTGCAGCTGTGGGCAGGCAGTGATCCACAGTGAATCTGCTCCATCCATCATTCCAGGGCTGGAGGGATGCGATGGCACCAGTGATGTGCTTGCGGCGCATGATGCAGCAGCTTGACAGGCAAGAGGAAGGCAGAACAAGAATAAATCCAATTTTACTACTCATTATGTTTTCATTTGGTATTAAATCACTGCTGGTAATAGTTTGTGACATGTATCCACCTTTTATAGCCCTGTTTTGTGCTGTCTTTTCCATGGAGACTATAAATACCACCACAGACCTTCTCCTGAGCATTCCGGGATAAAGAACAGGCTGCCAAGGCATGAGACCCCAGTGTGAGGACGTGACTGCTGAGTGGTGCCACCAGCGAGGGTGGGAGCCTCGTTCCTGCAAAAAATCAGTCGAGGTTGTGGCTGATCCTGAGAGATCATAGAACCATGGAATATCCTGAGCCGGAAGGGAGGCGCAGGGATCAAGTCCAACTCCTGGCCCTGCACAGGACACCCCAACAATCCCATCCTGTGCCTGGGAGCATTGTCCAAATGCTCCTTGATCTCTGGAAGCCATGGGGCTGTGACCACTGCCCTGGAGAGCCTGTTCAGTACCCAGTCACCCTCTGGGGGAAGAACCTTTTCCTCATATCCAACCTAATGCTCCCCTGACACAGCTCCAGCCATTCCCTCGGGTCCTGTCACTGAGTGAAGGGACATTTGAAGTGTGAGAAATTCCTCTCATCGAGGTGGAGGTTATTATTAAAAAAAAAGGTAGACTTCTTTCCCAAAAGATGAAGTGGAGCTCGCAGCCATGGGGAGAGGGAGAGGCCAGGCAGCCAGCCCAGAGAGGCCGGGCCGTGGCGGCTGCGTCACGTCCCCGACACCCCGACTGACAGCGGCATGTGCAGGGTCGCTATAAATGCCAGCGGTGACTGACAGGGCGGGCAGCCGCGGGCAGGGGCAGCCTCAGTCCGGCCGCCGCCATGGGCTCGACCCGCCGGGCCCTCGCCGAGCTCTACGGGCGGGGATCGGGCCACGCCGATGGCGCCGAGGAGGCCGAGAGCGCGGCCTGGGCCTCGCGGCCGGACCGGCGGAGTTACCTGCTGGGCATCCGGCCCCAGAACAGGTGAGAGCGGCCGGGCCGGGGGAACGGGCTGCTCGGGGGGTGTCCCCGCTCTGGCCGCTGCCGTCGGTGCGAGTGACACCGGGGACGGCGCCTGTGGGAGACGCGCCGAGGGCGGGCGGGGGCCGGAGGCGCGGGGGAGGCGGGCCGGGCTGCCCGGAGGGGCAGCAGGGCAGGCTGGACACCTCCCAGGCCGAAAGGCAACGCCCGGCCCCAAACCGAGCTGGAAGTGGTGTGGCCACCTGGGCCTCATCGTGCCCTGTGGAGATTCTCCCCACGGACCATTCCCAAGGGGGAAAAGCCAAGTGATGGCTTGGGCTCTCCAGAGGGGCTGGTGGGCCACGGGCCAGTCCCTCTTGCCCCCTGGAAAGAGCTGGGGGTGTCGCGGTTGTTGCTGGGGCAGGGGGTGTTGGTGTCGTGCATCACGTGTAACTGGGTGGGTGTGTGGAGTCCTGGAGTCATAGAATAGAATTGTGCAATATCTTGGGCTGGAAGGGACCCGCAAGGATCATCAAGTCCAGCTCCTGGCCCTGCACAGACACCCCAACAATCCCATCCTGTGCCTGGGAGCGTTGCCCAAACACTCCTTGAGCTCTGTCACCTGTGGGGCCGTGACCACTGCCCTGGGGAGCCTGTTTAGTGCCCAGTCACCCTCTGGGGGAAGAACCTTTTCCTAATATCCAACCTAAACCTCCCCAGACACAGCTCCAGCCATTTCCTCAGGTCCTATCACTGGTCACCAGAGAGCAGAGATTGATCAGTGCTGCCCCTCCACTTCTCTTCGTGAGGAAGCTGCAGACCCTGATGAGGTCTTGGTCGATGGCTTTCCTGTGAAATCCTGACAAACATGAGTGTCTGTCTCTCCAGTTAAATTCAGGGAACAGCACTGACCTTCCTGCCTTCATTGTAGTGAAGCTGCTCAACACCAGACACAGAGCGAGGGGCCACACGGGTGCCTTATCTTATTGCCAAAAAGGCATTTCTACAATGTAGATAGGGGCCAACAGCAATGAGAACAGCATTCCTGGGTCAGGAATGGCCTCAGGCAGAGGGTCTGGGGTAGAAATAAGGCTTTGTTCACTGGGGAGAAGGTATGAGAAACATGCTGTCAGCTGAGCCTGACTGAGGGTAGCTCACACAAAAATACAGGGCGATGTGCCAGTGGAGCCAAAGGTGTCGGTGATTGTGTGAGGTGTTCAAAAAAAGACTCAAAATTGCTTTGAATGCACTGAGAATACTGTTCAGTCTCCAAACGAGTGTGCCTCTTCCCTGCTGATGGTTTATAAATAATCCATTTCCAGCGTGTCAGGCATTGATGCCTCAAAGAGTCAGACATTCATAAAAATAAACACAGGACTGAAAGACATAAAAAAGGGCTGCTTGGAAGTCAGGTGTTAAAACTGGGTAACACCGAAGTGAAGCTGCCTTAATTCAGTTCCTTTGTGCTGGCATCGTGGGGTGCAAGCTAATTGTGGTCTGGCTGCACACAGTGGCATCTTCAGCACCAACAAATGCCAAAACAGGGTCCACAACCTGCAGCCTCAGGAAAATCTCTGAGCCCGGTGACTCCATTCTATGGATTGCAGGCAGAGAGAGGATTTAATAAAGAAGATGTCAAGGTGTTTGGATTGCCTATAGCTTGACTTTTATTCCCCCTGACTATGCTCAAATTGCAGCTTTAATCAGTTTAACCATAAAGGAGGGTTCATCCATCCTGCTAGCAATACCTCCAGTGTTCCCCAAATCCCCTGAAGTTTTCCTTACATCTGCTAAGGAAGGCATAGAGTGATGTTGGTCTCCTGGGCAGTGCACCTGATGTGTTCTGGCTGGGTCGACTCTGTGGCTGATGTATGGTAAATCCAGCCCATTTCTGCAATGCTCTGAGCCCTGAACTCCTTCAACTTGTCAGACTGGTGCTGCCAGGGCTGCACCCCAATTCCCATCCATGGGAGCCTAATCCTGGCAAAGGGACTCTGTGCTACCACACTCAAATCTGCAGCACATTCAATTTCCACAAACTGGCCAATCCTTTTTCCAATCCGCTTATGTTTGTGGTTGTCAAAGCCTGTGGCAAGGCAATTTTGTTTTGCCTGTTAACTCCACTGTCTGCCCCTTCTGTTGTAAGAAGTGGTGAATAAATATTTGCCAAATAGCAAAACTGACCTTTCCCTGCCATGGCAACTTCCATTTTCCCTGATGAGTTAGGGTAGAGTCATATAAAAATCTTGTTCCCTGTGGAACCCTACAAGTGGTGAAGGCTTGAGCCAGCATGTGTGGAAACTCTGTTGTTGTTGTCTAAGATGTAGGGTAAGGGGTTGAATTACGTGGGTCTTTTTGTCCTGTAATTAAATAATGGATCATAACAATTATGGAAAGCAAGTGAGTGGAATGGTGCAGCAAGGAGACTTTCAGAAAGCAATTATGAGTTTAATTAAATCCAGGAGCATCTGGAGAGCTTGCCTGGGAGAACTTGAAAAGCAAGATGAGCAACATGCTGAACGGCAGATAACATTGAGCAGTTCTCTTTGACACAGAACAGATTTGGGTTTGGAGCTAACAAAGGCATGGGACAAGTGATGCAGACACAGAATTGCGGTGGGAGGCTGCTGTGGTGGTTAGAAAACAAAAATGGATATTCTGGTCTAAAGGAAGTGTGGGTTTCTTTCAGGCTTCTCTGTTGCTGTCTTTGTATTTATAGAGAGTATTTAATAAAAATATTTGCCTGCTCTTTTCACCCATTCTTAAAGCAGTAGAAAGTGTAGTGACATAGTAGAGGTACGTGCAGGCATCTTTAGGAAAAGAAACTGAAGCTGGGAATCCCTGCTTCTGGGGTGACTCGTGGACACATTCTTCAGTCAGCTCTGGGGTCTCAGCATAGGAAGGACTTCCAAAAACGAAGGACTCTTTGGAGTGAGTCCAGAGGAGGCCACAGAGTGATGAGGGGGTGGAGCCCCTCTGGTCTGAGGAAAGGCTGAGAAAATTAGGATTGTTCAGCCTGGAGAAGAGAAGCTTCAGGGTAAACTAATTGTGGCCTCCCAGTACCTGAAGGGAGCCTGCAGGAAAGATAGCGAGAGATTGTTTACAATGTCTTGGTGACAGGCCAAGGGAGTATGGCTTCCCACTGTCAGAGGGCAGGGTTAGATGGGATATTAGGATGAAATTCTTGGCTGTGAGGGTGGTGAGGCTCTGGCACAGGTTCCCAGAGAAGCTGTGGCTGCCCCATCCCTGAAGTGTTCAAGGCCAGGTTGGATGGGGCTCGGAGCAACCTGGTCTAGTGGAAGGTGTCCCTGCCCACAGCAGGGTGTGGAGTAAGATGAACTTTAAGTTCCCTTCTAACCCAAACAATTCTGGGATTGTATGTAGAAGGCAGTTTGGATGATCTTACTTGGTCTCTCTAATCCTATAGGAGGAAAGGGATGTTGTGTAAATTGAAGGATATGAATTTGAAAACAAGAACATGCTTTTTCTGTTTCTTAGCTTGTAGAATATGCCAGAGGTGGTGCTACAGGGGCCAAAAGAATAGAGGTTTTGAAAATGACTGTAGAGAGAATATAATCCTTTTATTAGACAGAGTGTTCAGGGTATTTATGCTGTGTGGCCTCAGGAACTGGTATTTAGGAAGGATTTTTCCTGTGAGCAGACAACTCAGTGTCAAGAGATCACTGGCTTTCCTTTGCAGGTCTTTTAATGTACCTGATATTGGACAATGTGAGGAGCAGCTTGGTGATTTGCCTTCTGCCCTGGCTGCTGACAGGACTTTTTTATTTTGGGGTAGCTGTTTTGTTTGTGGGGTTTTTTTAAACCCTCTTATGTCTCAAAGCACTTGACTATAATTATTTCACGAAATGGGAGGAGGAGCTGTCAGTCCTTTCCATGGTCTGCCTTAGCTGCATTCATAGTCCACAGCTCCAAGACATCTCTTTAGGTGTCCTTTTTGTAAGAACTAGTGAGTCTGGAGAGTGTCTTGTGCAGAGAGATGCAATTTTATATAAAATCTTCACCTGAGTCCCAGGTGAACTCCTCTGCTGGCAGTGATGTGCACCTCTGGCCTCATGCAGGTGTCTGCTCCTTGGTCTCATTAGAGCATTGCCTCCTTGCTTGTATATCTTTCTACTGTCATACGCAGATATTTATAGAGTGTAGTGACATTGCCTCTGATCTTTTCTTGGATGACTGTCTCTGTTTGGGGTGGCAGTTGAGCTCAGGAGACAGCCTTGCCACCTGGCTCTTCTGGCTGGAAACCATTCCCAATCTTGTCCCTCTTGCTTTGCACATAATATCAAATGAAGGAGAAAGATCTGTTGCTATAATAAAGTATGCTGGAAACTCAGGAGCACTTGTTTCCTGAAAAGCATGTTTAGTTCAGAGCAGTTCCCTCTTCAGCAGCTGGGCACCTGTATCATCCTGTGTGACCTTGCTTTGGCAGGGAGTGGTGTAACTCCTGGGTAACATGCCAGCTGAGGCACCTGGGAGCATTCGGTCAGTTTGATTTGTGGGATGGAAGTGTCCCAAACTCTAAAAGGAGGGACAGCCAGTACCCACTGGAAAGGCAAAAGTAAAGGTGCCAATGATTCAGCTTCAAACCCTGTGATCTGTAGGACAGAGGCATCTGTTTCCCATTGGTGCAATTACTTGCATAGTGGTGTCTGGTCTGAGTGGGGCTCCTTGGCAGTTAATAACAACACTGAATAGCAATCCCAAACAGTCCCAAAGGGGGATTTTTCAGCCCCTTTTCCAAAGTCTCCTGTCCATATATCCCCTAGAAAGCCAAGCAGAGATGAGTGTGTAGGTGATAACCAAGGCTGGAGGAACTGGGGCTGGACAGGCAGTGCCCTTCAGGGTCACTGTTAAAATACAGAGCATATCACATGTGAGAACTTTGCTCTTCTCTGGAAACCTCATAAATGGAGATGTTTCCCAGGCCAAAGATCCCATCTCATTGAGGGTAGGGGAGTGTGTGGTCCTCTCCAAACAAGGCATCTCCTGTGCTACAGCAGATGCAGTTCCCAGCAGAAATTAAAACCTTCTCTACCCTCGCTGTTTCAACGAGGGCAGGAGAGTCTCGGGTGAATGAGGTTGTTATCTCATAGTGACTCAGTCTCACACTTCACAGCATCACCTGGTCCAAGGAAGAGGAAGGAGGAAGAGCTGTTACAGGCAATTTTATTTTCACTTTTCTTCTTTTCTATGCACAGTGAGCTGCCAGGAGGATGTCACCTTTCCTGGGCATCTCATTGTCCAATATTTGCTTTGCTTTCTTTTGCTATTTCTTGTTCCTCTGTATCTTTCTAAGTTTAATTTGGACCATAGAAACAGCAATAATTCCGAGTTAAAATACACAGATCTGAGCCATCTTCAGAGCATTACAGAGGCTGATACAGGAATGTGTAACTTAATGTATTGTTCTCCACCTTCTCTGTTAATGAAATCTAACTCTCAATTGTTACACACAAGTCTGTGTTCATCTCAGCACAAAGTAAATTACCTGCAGAAAAAAATGCCATATTTCTGCAGTTCTGACATCGATTCGGTCTGTGACCTTGACAAGCAAAGACTCAATACATCCATTTTCCAATCAGTGAAATAACAATGTGTCTTGTACAGCAACACAGCCCTCACAGCTGCTTTATCAGGGACTGCTGATAGCTGCTGCCATGGTATATGAACACCAGCACACCCCTTCTGTGTGTGCATGGAGTGCTTGATAAGGAGCGGGACACATGGCAGAAAAGCGGCCTAAGCATAACCATATGTACATGAAAGCCTCATTATTGGCTTTTAAATGTTGAAAAGGGTTTGCTGCCGACAGCTGAGGCAGTATTCAGAGCGGCTTGTATTTGTTTCAAGTAGTATTAACCTTGGAGGCAGACAAGTTCATAGGAAACCTTATACTTGGAAGTCTGCATGTGTAAAACATGCCAAATAATGTCACGGGTCAGAGAGTCAGCAAGGGGATTGCCAGGGCTGTCCCTCTGTCCGACTCCCGGAATGGACAGGCTGCCCTGCTCTCTGTGGGCTTCTTCCCTCAAAACATAACTCAGAGGTCTCTGCTTTGCTGTCAAGGACTCGCTTCGCTGTTTCCTTCCTGCACTGGGCAGCTTGTGTGGCTCAATTTTCATGCTGTGGAGAAGCACAGAAAAAATATTGATGACTGCTGCAGTTCAAGCAGCTCAAGTTCAGGTGCTTGTCCATATGAGGATGGAGCCACTGTTAAGCCTATTTCAGGGTCTCCTGAGCTCTTGTTGACTTCTATGTGAGGAATGAGCTGGAAGGAGAAAGATTTCTTTACCTCAAGGAGAAGAAATACTGAAAGAGGGAGATTTCCTGGAGTGATTGCATGAGAGGGTTAGAAAAGGTGTCAGGTTGAACATCTACGTTTTTCAAGCAGTTAACTTTTCAGTGCCAGTGGGGTGATGTACCAGCCCAGGCCAGCAACTTGAGTGGTTAAAAAAAGTGAGTGGTGTTGACAGTTCTGCCTCCTGCCCTTGCAAAACTGAAATTTGGCAAGTGCCTAAAAATGGGGAAGGCTGTCTTCACTTCCAAAGGAAATTATGGGTGCTCGAAGGGCTAAAACATTTAAGAGTATGATAAATGGCCGAAGGAATTTGAAAGCCTCTGATACAACAGAATTTAAAGAAGAACTGAGACTGGTAGAAGGTATGTGCTAGAGGGGTATAATTCTGTGTCCAGCTGTTAATAAACAAACCTGTATTTTCAGAACTAGCTTATAAAAAGCTGAGCTTCATTTCATGGATGAGAGGTGCGCCCGAGCTGGCCTCTTCCCACTGATGCTGGACATTCCTAGAGCAGACCTCTTTGAACTCCACTTCTCCAGCAGAAAGAAACCTTATACTTGAGACTGATTCACCACTTTAGATGTGTTCCTCAGGATAACATAAGCGTTTACATTCATCCAGTAACTGTAATGGCCCTGAGCTTGCTCGAGGGAGACACATCCACTGCTGATGCTGCATTTCGTTAGCAGAGCCCTGTGCTGTTTGTGCTAATAAGTCCCTGGGGAGCCCAGGGCACAAACAGCCCAGTCCCAGCAAGGATCAGACCAGGCACACTGGGATTTCCAGGTGGGTAGATTGGGTTCAGAGTCTGATGTAGTTGTGCTGTTGCAGCTCTACATGGATATGCTGGAACATAATTGAAGTGAAGCACCAGCTGCCTGCAGGCAGGGCTGTGCTGGCTGCAGCATCCACAGTTTGATCTTCCTCTCTCGGGGTTTAAAACTCTAGTCTGAAAAGCAAATTTAGCATATTGAGGTTAAACTTCAGTTAATACATCATGGCCTTTTTCTTCTGATAATATCAAAGCTCCTCAAGAGACCCTCAGTCCAGCGTTCAGCGTTGTCTGAGGATGTGAAGTGAATAAAGCCCACGTTGCCTTAACACTGGGGATTAAAAAAAAAGCACTGTCAATGCTCAGTGTTTGATCACATGCATGAGCACAAGGGGTTCATGGCACAGACACCCTTCCTTCTGACTCCTCTTTTCTTTACATCTAAGCTAAGACACATCCTCATTTGTCTTATGCAAGAAATGATGATTAAAACCACACTTCTGCCTACACTAGCATTTTCCAGCAAGGATTTTGGGATCTTCCCTCAAGGGATGCCCAGGTCCTTAGTATTCCTGGAGGGCAAGAGGATGTTTTTCCCTTGCATTGGTAAGCAAAATGGTTTTGGGTTCATTTACAGTTGAGAAGTTGGTGGTTGAGACAGTTTAAGCCCATGAGTTGTTTCCAGCCAGACAGAGCTGCCTGGGGGCATCCCAGAGCACAGGGATGAATCCGTCCATGGGATCACCTGCAGTGGTTGTGCTTGGGAGGAGCATGGGGAGGAGGAAACTGGATCCCTGGGAGGTCAGGACAGGGTGAGAGCAGCAAAAGGTGCAGTTTGAGCTCTCGGAGCTCTGAGGATGTCTGTGAGTGATGAGGACAAGGTGAAGTGGTGATCAGTAAAGCAGGTAATGCAAAGGTGTGCCTGGCAGTGCCAGAAAGGACATACATGGAGTTCACAGGGATGTCACAGGTGGTGGAGCTCAGCTGCACAGACAAAGTTCTTCTGTCTGACTTCTCCCATGGGCCAGCACAGCACGCGGAAGATGGATCGTGTGAGATGATCATGATGATCAGCCTGTTATGGTTAATGTTTGATTTTCCCAGCTGGATAACGCCCAGTCTCTGGCATCCTCTGGCACTGGGAAGGGATCAGGATTGTGTGGCTGGGGGTGGAGAGGGTGAAGCCACTGCTATCCCTGTTTGTTGGGTTAAAGCTGCTCCTGAGCAGCTGTCTAAAACTTCTGCTGTCTTTACTCTCCTGAAGGAGAAGAGTCAGTGAGCCCTTCAGGGTTTTTTTCCCTGGTGTAAATGTGCAATGATTTGTGTAAAGCGTCAGGCCTCCAAGCTGAACTACTTTTTTTCTTCTACTCATGTAAAGGTTCTGCCTCCACAGGTGGAACATACAGTTGGCAGAAGCACTTTTCAGAGTCTCTCTGTCGTCATTTTTAGGGCAAGACTTGGAGTCCTGCTGACTTCCACGTGACTGGGACTCGCACATTTGGGTAGGAGACCTGAAGAGGTGCACCTTCAGGTGGACCTTCAGGTGGTTGTTCCTGCTGTCTTCTCTAGCACCTTCATAGAGCACTGACGTTTGGTGGTTCGCTGGTCTTCAGAGCAGAAGCTGAGAGGGTTTGATCTGTCTGCGTGGACGGATGTGGGAATCTGGTATCCTACATCCCACAGGTTGTTGCATAGGCACAACTATGTATCTCAGTGCAATTAAATCCCTGAGCTTACTTCTGTTGACTAGTCAGTCCCTGGTTAGTTTTAGACTTTTGATTGCCATGTGGGTGAGCTCAGGGCCTGAGGAACTGCTTCTGAGTGCTGCAGGTCAATGCGCAGAGGTTGTCACACTGTCACAATCTGGCAGTGTGGCCTTTTGGCTAGGACATGAGTCCTTGAAGACACTCCCTCAAGAGAGCTGGTGACCACTGGTAAGTAGCTCGTCCGGGTGTCCTTTGTGCAGGACTCGGGTGTTTGATTTTGTTCCCTGAATCAGTTAATGTTACAGCATGATCCTGCAAAGAAAGCAAAACGTGTAGATTCTTGTAAAATCTCCTTCTGTTATTTTATTTTAATGTTTTGCCAGACCTTAGTGATTTGGTTGGCAGGCTGGAAAGCCATATGTAGTGACCAGGGAGCTTTCAGCTTCTCCCAGGAGCTGTCCTTGGAAGCAGAGAGGGCACCCAGCTCAGGCCACCTGCTTGCCATCAGAGAAGGGAGGGTCCCGGTCCAGACTCCCTCCTGCTGATTAATTGGACACCTCCCCGGGGGGAGTTGCCTGCTTTGAGCACAACGCTGGTGCATGGAAGGCTCAAGGTGCTGCTTCTCAGAAACCTACTTGTATAAATGTCCTGACACTGGTTCTCTGCCGTTAACGACCATTTCATTTTTACAGCCTTTGATTTCAATTCACAATGTGGCTTGCTCATCCTGGCAGGCAGCCTAAGGCAGCTGTACCTTCTTTAAATAGGAACTCTGACCTCTGCAAAACGACTCATCATTAATACGTCTCTGTAACGGTTTGTTTATTTCAGCTCCTTTCCATGCTTCTCTCTCTAATGGTTTTTATGCTGTTTTTTGCTTAGCTTATCAAGCAGCAGATTCTGTCCCTCCAGTTTAGGAAGGTAAAACTGCGTTGCATTAAACTGTTCTGACCAAACACTTTTTTGAATCTGCCTGCACATGACTAACCTGTAGTGCTCTGGTACTAATTAATTAATCAGTCGAGAGACCTGAAGTGATCTAACAGCCTCATTCTGCATGATTGGATCCCTAATACTTTCTTGAACTGCAGACAGAAAAGTGAATGTTCATTGTAATTTCTGTATTAAGGTGCAAGAAATATTTCTCTTTTTTAGCCAGAGATTGGGTGTTCAGCTACTTCTTGATATTAAAGTGAGACTTCCATACAGAGACATTAAAAATTGGATATACCTGCCCTGAGACTTTTAGGAAAGAGATTTTCTTCCCCCATCCCCCACCACTGTCGTGAATATCCTCATTCACTTGGACTCTGCCCCAAAATGCACTTGTACAGCTGTACTTTGCCTTTGGCAAAAGAACACATTTGGAAATGCATGTGCATTGCTGGTGTGCTGCAATGGCAGGTAGAGAAATGACTATGGAGGGAAAGGCCTCTCCTGAACACCCCTGTAGCTGTGGGATTGCTAACCAAAAAGTCAGAAAAAGAAAATCATGATGAAGAGGAATACACTTCTCAAATCTCCTTCTCCAACAGGCTTTTGTATGGAAATCCCTCTTTAATGTGAAAAGGCTACTGAATTGCCAGGGTTCCTTCCTAGTCTCCAGGGCTTTTTTCTGCCCCAAGGATGCAGCTCCAGGAAGGCCCTGGAGGAAAAGCGGCTGGTGCTTTGTGTCGAATTCCTTGAATACTCTGAATTACTGGTTTAGAAAGCAATTTGGATTGGACAAGCCTCCTTGCAGCTGGAATGAGTCAGCTGAGAGCCCCACAGTGCCCAGCCTCCAAAACCCCTGTGGCCAACACAATGGTTTCTTTGAAAGACTCAATAGACCTTCCAGGCTTCCTGCCAAGTGTGGTTGGGCAAGTCTCTGATTCATCTGCTGAGCCTGTGGAGCCCCCAGCTCCTGGCCATGCTGCTTTCCTGAACCATTCAGTAGCCTTTGCTGTATTTCACTTGGTTGTGGGATTTGCACTGAGTGGACCAGACTTATTCCTGGTGCTGCCTGCTGGTGCTGGTGGCGTGGTGCTGGGATTAAACTGGGTCCCGAGTGTCACTGTGTGTGTGTGCATCACTTGATTTTTAAGATGCTGACCCAGTTGCTCTCCTGCTGGGGTATGAAATGTTCATTGATGCTTGGGAAGTTCCGTTATGTGGATCTAAAAGGCATTTACTGGTATGGGACTGGGGATCTGTATTTTGAAGGGAGAATCAAAACCCTACCAGTAACTGCCTTGGTATTGGATTGTCTGCCTTGCTCCGTGGAAATGGGCATTTTTTCTCTTGGGGTTGGACTTTGGAAAAGTTTCTCTGGTTTGAAAAGGCTTTTGACTCCCACAGCCCTTTCCTGGCCCCACAACTGTGTGAAGAGTTGCTTACCAGGACCAGTGTCCTGTGGACCATTGGTTTCCCCAAAAAAGAGTCTGAGCTGTGGAATCTGTTTTTTTACCCCATCCCACACATATGTTTGGATACAGATAGTGCTTATAACCCTCGTACAGTAGATGAGTCAGGTTTGCAACAGCCTGAGCTTCCCCTGTCCCGACCCTTACCCAGCACAAGGTGCCTGGGAGCTGGGTGAGACTCCAGCTGCATTCCAGTGGTTTGTTATTCAGGGATTCATCTCCCTGTGTCTCTTACAAACCCATTCTAGCAGGAAGTCAGAGTGAAAATCATGACACTGCGGCCTCCAGGTAAGTTTTCAGGGTGGATGGAACAGGCAGCTGCTGTGCCTGGAGCTCTCCTGACACCTTCAGCCATGTCTGCTCAGTCCCTGTCAGTGCACCTGCCCTTGCTGGTTCACGCTAAATGTGAGGTTTTCTGGTTTTTCCTCAACAAGTTTGCTTCCTTAGCAGGTAGAGCATGAGTAGCAGCAGCACCAGCATCCTGCCTGCAAGCCAAGGGCTGCTTGTGAGGCTCGGGTCCTCCTCATGGAGCCCCCACCACGTGCTCTGAGCCCTTCTGCTCGTGGTGGAGCTGTCTCAGGAGTGGTTTGGGGGTTTGTTCCACCCCTTGCATGTCTCTAGAAGCTGATCACTTGTTTAAGGAATGTCTTTCACTGCTAAAAATTATATAAATAGAGCTGCCAGCTACAGTTCTCTTGTAATATTTGCTGTTTCTGCCAAGATCCTTTTGCTTGAGACCATGGGGTCCCCTCTCCTACTGTAAACATGTAGTGTTTTAATTGCAGAGGGAAAAATTAAATAAGAAGTTCCTAGTTTCCAAGAGTCTCAGAGCATTATCTGAATGAAGACTCAAGTTGGAATTTAACAATTTCCCTTTATTTAAGAAAGCCCAGATCTTCTGGGGCCTCCCTTGGTGATGCTTTAGCAGGGTTGGCAGTGCTGGATGAATACAGTGATTTATTGCTCTCACTGAACAGTGCTGAAATATCTGGGAAATTCAAAGCCCACTTTGGAGCTTCACAGGTTGCACTGATTGGATAGTTCTGGCTATTTGGGTATCCCAGCCTAAACTTTGAGGTCAGTGCCTGAACTCAAGGAGTAGGGACTGTGAGTCCTACCTGCAGCAGTGAGAGGTTGGCAGGAAATGGATGCCAGCTTCCCAGCTAATTCCTGAGCTCAGAAAGCTGCCAGCCAGGCTCAGTCTCCCTCAGTGAGCTATCCCACAACTGCCAGCTTTTCTTAATTCTCAGACAGCTGCTGTGTTCTTGATATGTGTTCACTTGGCCTAAAATGACATAAGAATTCTTCAGAAATAAAGAAAAATCCCAGTGAACAGAACAGCACTTGAAACACTGACAGTTCAGAACTGGAAATTACTTTGTTAGGTCTGGCTCTGAGCTTGCTGACTGACCAAAGAGATGTTTTGTTGTAATAAAGAACTAAAATGGTTCTTGACATTCATTGCCCCAATAGCCGTAAAGGCTAAGACAAAGGGAATGTCTCCAAAATAACACTTTAAATTGCCAGTCATCTTAGGAGGGAGAAATCAGTCAAATGCTCTGACACTGGACTGGACTTATGAGCAAGTGTAGGGATGATGGGAGGGAAGAGGGCACGTACAACAAGAACACAGGCTGCTGAGATGAGACAGAAAGCAGACCCTTTGATTTTTCTGGTGCTTTGATCTCTAAGAAATGCTTCTTGAATCTTCCAGGAGCACCTTCTGCGCAATCATTTCTCAGCTGACGGAGGAAACACAGCCACTATTTGAAACCACTATCAAATCCCGTTCTGTGTCCGAGGACTCTGATGCTAAATTCACGTGCATAGTGACAGGTAACAGTGTCTTCAGTGAATAACCCGGTCCTGCCTCATCTGCTGGACTTGCGCTAGTTAAACTCTGCAGCAAGTGGTAACAAGGATAACAAGCCCACTGTTGTCAGACTGCTAAGTAGAGATTCGGCAATTGCATGATGATTTTAGCTTTAACTTAAGGGAGGGGGGAAACACCTGAGAGTGTAAAGAGGCAAAGGCATAAGCTAACATCTCAAACAAGGCAAACGAAAGGCCAGAAAATGGAATATGCTGGTTACTTCTTGGACCAGCTACATTTTATTGTCCTAATCTCGCTTCTTCTCTAATCCTGGACACCATAACTCAGGAATGTGCAGTTTTGAAGACTAAGGCTATTGTACTGGAGGCGACTCTTGTCTGTCTTTGCTGGCTGTAGATGGTTAGAGCATTTGTATCAGCGATAAACTTCTGTGTCTGTCAACATCTGAAATAAAAGCTGGTTTCTGCAAAATGAACCAAAATCTCCTTTTGGGCAGGAAGGGGTTAAGCCAAAAAAGAGGAGGAGGAGGGAGAGGCTGAAAAAGAGGACTGCTGCTAAGAAATTGTGGTGATGTGGCATGGCAGTGCATTGGTGTAGAGGCAAGGGGCTCCTTTGCTGATGAGATGTTGTTCTTTAAGTATTGATGCTCTAAAACCTCTGCTCTCTGTGGTATGTACCTGTTAACAACTCTGTGATCCTTCCTGACCTCGCTCATGTTAATTATTCTGGGACATGTTACTCAGTGAGAGACATTAAACAAGTCTGTAAATTTTAGAATTTACAGTGAGCCTCTTAGGCACAAAGACCAAGGATTTCCTAAGGAAATCTAGTTTGCCATTAGAAACATGCTGGAAGTAAGCTGTGCGCCAGGAAGCACAGCCTGAGCCCTCTGAGAGCTGCTGGCTTTGGATTCTTGGCTTTTCTTGCACAGCTTCCCTTGTTCTGCAGGTCTGACTTTCTGAACTTGCAGGGGTACAACTGATATATTGATGTTATTGAGGCTTAAATTCAGCAGACTCCCTCTTGCTCGAGGGCTGTGCTAAGGACATGCCTCCAAACCATGCTGTTTGGGGATTCATTAGAAGGGCTCTTCCCAGTTTAAGCTTTCTGAAAGCAAAAGTTTGACATATTGTGCAGTACCATGGAACTCACCATTCTGCAAGTGTCAGAGGTGGGAAAATGTTTAGATATGTTGGGAAATCCAGAGTAATAGTCCTGGCTTCCCTCACTGGCTTAAATCTTCACCAGCTGCACCTGGAAGTTGATGGGTCGCTCCAATGAACTCCATCTCTTTCTAGTGACTTGCACCAGGTGGAAAACTTGACCTGATACTGGCCTCATTTTCTAACCAAGTGAAGGAAATTTTCAATGAGTCTCTTCAGCATGTATCGTGGTATTTTTGTGCTTGGTAAAATAGGCTGGGGGATGTCTTTATGCACTTCAATTAATAAACCTGTGAAACTAGGAATTTTCATGGAAATGTTCTTAAAATCAGCCTGGACATATGGGCAACTCCTGCACGTGGTCCTATGGACTGCTTTAGGAGCTCAGGATCTCTTTGGGAAGGAGGGGCAGGAGATGGGAAGCTTACTCTTGACTGCAGAGTCTGGTCAGTAGCTCAGGTATCTCACCCTGCCATGATGTTTGCGTTCCACTGGGAGATGTTACTGGGAGAAAGGAAGTGGCAGTGGCATCCCTGGCCAGTGACCAGAGTGGAACCAGTTGAGTCCCAGCACTGTGGCTGGAGTCCAGGGACACTTTGGTGGAGGCAAAGGGCAGACAGTCAGCTGCTCCTGTTTTGACGCTCAAGACACAAATATGGATATGTGACCTACAATGATACCTTAATTTTTTTTTGCTGCTTCTTGACCAATAATGAGAGTTACAGGGGAGTCCCACATCAGGGAATACTTGGACTAGGACTGGGCATGTCCTAGGAAGGCAGAACGATGCAAATGTTTGAGGAGCCAATCTCCAGAATGGGCTGAGTGGTGCAGGCAAGGAAAAAGCAGGTCAGGCAGAGGTGAGTTCCTAATGCTCTCAGGAGGTGGCACAAACCCTCCTTTCCTGCTGTTGCCTAGTTCTGCCTGCTGCTGGTGTCCCTACTACATCTGATTTGATTGTTTTGGGTCAAATCCTGCATCAGTTATGACATGTTTTCTTTTTTTAGAAAAAATTAGTTCATCGTTTGTTCTCTGAGAGATGTGAAAAATGGAACATTTCCATTTACTTCAACCCATGTCTCTGCACCAAGTGTTTTCCTTGGTGCGTCTGTCTGGACTCTGGGACCTCGAGTGCCATCACAGATCCTTCCCAGTGAGTGGATATTGGGCTTCTCTCTTCAGAGTGGCTCTTAGTGGAGCTACAAGGATTTTCTAGCTTTTCAGTCATTTCTGCATAGTGTTGGCTGGGAAGGAGAGATGTTGGCTGATGAAATGGGGAGGCTTGGATGAGGTGCCTGGGTCTGTGGCTGCTTGTTAGGGAATGAGTCCAACCAGGAGAGATGATGGCTGGATCTAGCCAAGACCATCATCTGTCAGCGCCAGCCCATTGTTGTAGAGCTGCCTCTTCAGTGCTGTTTTGGCCCTCCTTAGGCAAGTTCAACCCCTGTGACCTGGCTTCCCAAATCATCAGCTCAGGGGCTCGAGCCCATCAGCGCCTCCATGGTTTTATTATGAGTACAGGGGGGAAAGGGCTCTGCCCATACCTTGGGGAAGAGCACTGGGGTAAGGTGAGTAGGCAGTCACAGACTTAGTGGATGAGGATTTTAATAAGGATAAAGGATCTCAACTTGTTGCATCCATGGCGGTCCTCTGAGGGAAGTATTTGAAGGATGAGAGTGAAGTGCTTGGATGAAGGATGTCTGGAGAAATGCATGAGGGGTTTGGAAGTGGGGTAGTGAGTACAAGAGCAGAGAGCAGGCTACTGAGAGATGAGGGTGTTTGGGTTTGGGGCAGCCAGGACAAGGGAAGGATGGAGAATGAGCACTGCTCACAGGCTGGTGCCATGGGGAGCTACTGCCCTTTGTAAGTATCTGTCCCTCCTGCCAGCATTGCTAGAAACTTTGTCTTCAGGTGCTGGGGAGGTTTAAATCCATGAAGCCAGAAAGAATGAGATCTTACCATTAATTTTATTCCCCAAACTGCCTGAAATTCCTACTCCACATAGCTTGTGTAGAGAAGAAACAGGAAACTGTGGTGATTATGTGTAATGGTTCTAAAATCTTACCACCTTCATTTCAGAAGACTTAACACTCCTCACTTTCCTGCCCCCAAAAATCAAAAGAAAAGTTACTTTAAACAGAGCTGCTCTGGGTGATTTTGGATAGATATATTAAGAACTGTTTTGGATAGATATTTTAAGAACTGTTTTGGATACGGTCACCAAAGCTTTGAAGACTTCTCAGATTTTAACAGCTTTCAGAAAGAGAATGTTTGATCTAAACCTGGCAATCTCCATGAAAAAAAACCCCTTGCTCTGAAAAGTCTCCTGGATCCTGTGATGGCTGGAGCAATGCTGCTGGAAGACACACTTCCCTAAAGGCTTTTGCTAGGCCGGAAGATGTGCAGGGGATGCCTGATCTCCCCGGAGCTCCCGGCACCGCTCCGTCTGCAGCAGCAGGGCTCGGGCTGGGGCAGGCAGGGAACGAGCAGCTGGCAAATCCCTCCCGGCACCATCTGCACGGGGGGTCTGCGGCAGTGGCAGATTTTTGAAGGACGAGTGCTGATTTATGCTCAGGGTGTCTCATGCTAAGGGCGGGCATCTGGTACCCTGCAGTATGGCAGTGCCCACCGATGGAGCCCTCGGCTCCACCCCGTGCTGTGGTTGCAGGGGATGTGCCAGGAGTGATGCCTGCCCTCTTTCCGCACCCCCCCACCCCCCACCCCCGCCCCCGAAGCGGGGGAATTCATTCACTCAGCAGCCGGAAGATGGATGCCTGCAGCGTCAGCAGCAGCTCCCCTCCCCATGCCAGGGAGCCCCGTCCCTGCACAGGCATCTCTCCATCCCCTGCTTGGCTCAGGTTACAGCCTCTGGGGAGGGATGGATGGTGTTTGGACAGGCAGCTGGGGCCACTGTCCCTATGTGGGAGGTGGGAAGCCTTTCAGCATCCCTCTGCCTGCAGACTTCTAGCCCGCACTTGCCTGCAGCTCCTCTTGGCTGCAGGGTGGGAGCGTGCAGTGGGAGCTGGTCCCTCCCTGCCTGCACTGGGCTGGCACGGCTGTAGCCCCTCGGAGGGAGCAGGTATCCTCAAGGACACAAGTGCTACAGGTCAAACGGAGTTGAGGCTTAGCAGGAGGAAAAGCCTTTCCTCGAGGCACTGCACAGTTATGGAAAGCACAGTTCTTTCCGGCAGATGTCAGCTGGGAATGGAAATCAGCTGCGGAGGCCACGGGGGGACATCACAGGGCTTCTCGGAAACGATCTGCTGGCAGTTCCCGGAATGAAGGGCTGGGCTGTGATAGCTGCCCGTCGGGTATTAGGAAAATCAACCCGCCAGCTCCCTGCGGTACAGACCGTGGGGGCCTCCCGAAGGACTTGCCTGTGGAACAGCCTTTGGGAAGGGTTGGATTGCTCTTGGCAAAATGTGAGCTTTGCATGGAAATTGGTTTTTTCATCACCCCTGGAGCAGAAAGAATCCATCACAGGCTCATTCAGCCCAAGGTCGTGCTGCCAAGTATAGCCAGTAGCTAATATTTTATGGAAAATGTAAGCAACAGTATCAATCCCTGATGATCCTGTCTCTGGGATACTCTCATGACTTTCTCCAGTTTCCAGTTTAGGGCTCATTTTCTTCAGCCACAGGTACCTGAGGGCTTTGCACATCTCTAGAAACTGGTTTGGGGGTGGTCAGAGCAGCAGCAAAAAGCAGGCTGTGGCAAGAGGTAAGGATGGAGAGCCATGCAGGAAGGGCTTTGGGAGAAAGTCATGGCTTGGCTTCCTGCGGAAGAGGAGGAACAAGGCACTACCCAACAGAAAGCCAAAGCTTCTGGTGGCAGCAGTGGGAGGGGAATGAGGCAGCAAAGCATGTGGGAGATGCAGGGGCAGTGAGGATGGAGAGAGGGAATGCTGGGGCAGTGCAGAGCAAAAGACCTCAGTGAGGGAGGAAAATAATAGAGTAAAATCCGATCTGTGGAGGTGTTTGGGCCATAGGAATGGCTGCTGCTCATGGGGGAGAGCAAGAAAGTAAAATTCCTCTGAGACTGTTTTCTCAGCCCTGTCTGGTCCCAGTGGGCTAAATCCCTTCAGAGGACCAGGGGCCAGAGGACACTGGGGAGCCCCACAAGCAAGAGATGTGGACAAGGAGCACTCCAGAAGGGCAGATTGGGGCAGAGAAACCAAAGCAGTACATGAGATTTGGCATACGCTGCTTTTCTGGAAAAAAGGCATTTTGGATTGGCCAAAACCTGGGTGAACTCCTGCTGATATGTCTCTGCTCCTAGACTTTCACTCCTGCTATAGGACCTTCATAGGAGCGGGAGTAAGCTGGGCTTAGGCATTGCTACGGGCTGCCAGCATCTCTGGCTGGTGCAAGGAGAAGGTTTGGGGTCCTGGTCGGCCTTGAAACCTGTGGGTTGGCAACTGGGAAGTATCCAGGATAGGTAGGGAGTGCCCTGTGTCTGCCCTGTCACTACTCCAGAGTCATTGAGTCTGGACACTTTGGATATTCCTGGAAAGCCCTGACTGGCCCCATGCCAGGGATGTCCATAGGAGCTGACCCCCCTTGCATTCTGGGGTGCTGGGGGCTGGTGGGGTGAGCCCTGGGGACTGGTGGAGGTGCTGGACTCCCTTCCTTTGGCCACAGGGAAAGCCAGCAGGGACATGTGCAGAAGATAAGCTTTGGGTGTCTGCCTTGGGGCTTTGAACAACTGCTGAGCATATTGACTATAGCTGAGACATGACGTGATCATTGAAACTTCCATCCTGTGTCTTGGGAGTCGGCTTCGCTGTGCCAAGAGCCCTGTGTGAAGTGCAGGAATTCATGCTGCCTGCTGGCTTGAGCAGTTTTTGCATGAAAACTTCTCTTACTCTGAGCTAGAGCTGTTGTGGGTGAGCGCTGAGGGCTGTGGCTAGCACTGGTCCATGTGGGACTCACATGCTGATCCAACACTGCTGCCAGTGGTGGGGAACGTGGCTGCGTGCCCAGCCTGCTGTCCAGCCAGTCACACACATCATGATGTCATTCTACTGAAAAGGCAGGTGACATCTGTTGTCAAGTGACATTTGTAGGACACTGAGCTGACTGTGATGCAATCAAGGTTGTTTCTGTTCAATGGAAAGTTTCAGATCAACTTACAGGCTGTGACACCATGTGAAATGCTGAGAGCTCCATGGAAGGGAGAGCTGTTCTCCAACCATAGCCTTGGTCTCATCAAAACATCCCTCTTCACATAAAAGTGACGGAATGCTCACCTTCTCCTCCTGGCCAGTGTTATAGGAGATGAGCGTGTGATCCACACTCCTCTGTTCAGGAATGAAGTGCTGGTATTTTTTTCTCAAAAATAGCCCTATTCCTAAGAGCGATAAAAGTCTGAGATAAGCCCATCAAGTTTCCGTTGTTTGTTTCTGCTGTGTGATTTAGGAATGTGGTGAGCCCAGAATAGCATCTGTCCTGGTCTGCTGGAGCGTTTTGGTTTGCTGCTGATACCAGGCTGGCTGTGCTCCTGGATGAAATGTTTCACACCCTCCATCTCCTCCCCAGGGTTCCCGCAGCCAGAGGTGACATGGTACAAGGATGATGAGGAGATGGATCGCTACTGTGGCTTACCCAAGTACGAGATATTCCGTCATGGAAATCGCCACACCCTGCAGCTGTACAAGTGAGTAAAGGAGCTGGAGAGGGGCTGGATTTGGTGGTGGAAGCTCTGAGTGTGTTCTCAATAGCTGGAGAAGCTGTCAGCAGTGATGTCCCCCCAGCACTTGTGCTGGCCCCTTCTGCTCCCCACTGCGAGTTCCTGGCTGTCCCTTCCCCTCCAGCTCTTCGCTCTGGTGACTCCCCGATCACACAAGTATGAGATCCATTACTACATCCAGGGATAGCTGCCATGCTGCAAGCAACAGGAAGGGCAGGATAAATCCTTCTCTCTGGAGCCTTCCAGTACTGAGCAATAGGGCTGGACAAAGGTGACCAACAGGAAGCACTGTCTGCCCCCAGGATGATGGTCCAGGGATTCAGGCAGGACAAGGACAGAAACAGTTCACAGGAGTGTCCTAAGCTACAGCCCTGTCCCAGAAGGGCCGTTCCTAGCTGTCACCATGGAAAGGGCTGCTTTGGCACTGATGAATGGAGGCAAGGCCCTCCTTTATCCAGCCCTGACTACCAGCTTCTTTTAACTTTAAGCGAGGACTGTATTTCTGAAGAGCCAGGCACACTGTATCTCCAGCAAGCAGGGACTTGTGACACCTCAAGTCCTGCAACTGGGGTGTCAGACAGGTGCAGCAGTGACAGAAAATGTAGAATCAGTGTTGCTGATGATCCTGTCATCCTTGTGCTTCTAGTCTGGGCTTTTCTGCTGCCCCAAGTGTGCTCCAGATTTCCGTCAGAGGCTGGCTCATCTCTCGCAGGAGCAGGGATCTCCAGGGGTCAGGTGTCCTCGAGGGGTGACAACAGGGATGGCAGGCACATGTTTGTGCTGCTGCCTGTGACGTGGGGTGGGAAGGCTTTGGTAAGGCAGTACAGTGGAGGAAGAACAGGATTGTCATGTAGGCTGTGAAGAGCTGAGAGGAGAAGGTTCTGCAGAGGAATGTGACCAAGGACAGTCGGGAAGCCTGGTGCTGCCTGTTCCTCCTCCATCACAGCCCTCTCTTACCAGAGTTACAAGCCAGGGTGGAGCTCGGCACAGATTTAACATCAAACCTCCTTGCCTGTTAGTACTGAGAGAGCGCAGAGCCGGGGAGGGAGACCAGCCCCAGGCCTCCACACATTCTGTGGGCATCTCATGGGCCACATCTTCATTTTCTGGCCTCCCTGGAGCAAGAAGTGGGAGAGCAGGCAGGGAATGCCTGTGTGCCCAGTGGGAATCCTGGGGAGGATGGGTAGGTCTCATGCACAGCTTTTGGTTTCCAGGTGCCGAGAAGAAGATGCAGGCATTTACCAGGCCTCAGCTAGAAATACCAAAGGCATCGTGTCCTGCTCTGGTGTGCTGGAAGTGGGAACCATGACGGAATTCAAAATCCATCAGAAATGGTTTGACAAAATAAAGAGAAAAGCTGAAGAAAAGCTGCAAGAGATAGAACAGGGCAAGAAACGAGGAAAAGAAAATGTGGAGGTGGAGAAGTTGCAGGGAATGAGCCCCGAAAGGCTCCAGAGGAAGCGGAGGCTGGCTAGGGATCAGAATCTCCAGTCAGGAGACTCTTCATGGGAGAAGGAAGATGCAGCGAAAGTGCACGTCGCGGATTCGCAGTCCAGGTTACACAAGGATATTGCTGAGACACAGGAGCAGCCAGTCAGTGCAGTGATGGGCTTCTCAAACAAACTGGTAGCACCTCTGAAAGCAGAGGTGACAACCAATGGAGATGCCACTTTGGAGACTGGGGAGGAGAACGGGAACAGCTTTCTCACGTATATCTATGAGACAGTGGAGGACCTGGCGGCTAAGCCAGGGGCAAAAGACTCTGCAGCTAAAAAGAAAAAGAAGGTGGGGGCTCCTTCAGCAGCAACGCAGGAAGCTTCCAAGCGAGAAGAAAGTGGGAGAGACAGGGCCAATCCTTCCTCAAATCCCAGGTTTGCCCCTCCTGTCCCCTTACGTAGAAATGCACGTTTGAGAGCGGCAAAGGATCAAGAAGTGGAAACCAGTCTAAAAGGCAAAGAGCCTGAGAAAGCTGTGAATCAGGACACTAAAACCAGTGATAACGTGTACTTCTCATTAAAGGACATGTATTTTGATAAGCAGGTGAAGCCAACAGCAGGGAAGGAGGAGGTGGGAGCCAAGGACGAGGCCAGGAGCGAGACTGCCCTGCGGCCGGTGGCCATCAGCAGACAGACAGAGGATGCTCCATTGTCCTCTGAGGTGTCAGAGGCAGGACCTGTGCTGTCCGAGGGACAGAGAGGCCAACACCAAGCACAGAAGTTGGAGGGAAACAAAAAGGTAACTAGGAGAGAGAGCAGCCAACGCAGGGGTGGCAACAAGAAAGTACCTTGTGCTGCAGGGTTGTGCTGTGGCACCATGTGTGGGAGGCTGCAAGTGCCCCATGGGATCTGCTGCCGAGGCTCCACAGCTCTCCACTGGTGGAAGCACCCAGGGAAAGGGCCTTCTGGACTTCGTGTGCCCGGAGAGCAGAGCTTCCACCCCATCTCCAAACAAATGTCAGCTGAGGTGGTGAGAGATGTAAGCCGGGGCCATGCGAGCAGCTGGTCTCCGGGTGGCCTGGGGTGGCTGTGAGCTCTCCAGTTTAATCGGCAGCCTGACCTCATGCAAAATGTTTTCAGATCAGTTCAGCAGGCAGCACTGAATGGCTATTTATAGCTGGGGGTGGGGGCCTTGTGCATAGACAGATGAGGCCAATGGCATCTGTTCAGTTTAACAAGGGAACCGGAGCTTCAGCGGAGTTAACGAGCCCCCCCATGCAAATGAGCACAGTGTGCCAGGTACACCACATGAGCTGCGCTGCAGGGACTCAAGGTTTGTTTACAGTGCAACATGTATACAGTAGGTCTGGACTGGGTTTTTGGCTCTTCCCTGTTGGAAAAACTCTGTTGGGAGACTTATTGTGGTGGTGATGAAGCGCCAGAGCACAGCACCTGCTCCTGACCCTCAGCGCATCTTTTAGTCAACTGCTATTTTTGTCATTTAACCTGAAGTATTTTCCATGAAAATATTAGACTGGAACCTACCAGACTATTTTTCACCTTTTTTTCTTTAATGATCCCTTCTGTGGTAAAAGGTTCTCGTAGTCCAATTTGCTACCAGGATCTGGAGTTTGGGCTGTGGTAGGTACACACTTTTGGTACGGACAAGACTTCAGGTGCAGCACCTCTCCCTTGGTAGGTAATGCACATACTTCAGGATGTGGAAACATCCATGATACAGAAAGTGGGATTGCTGGGTGCCTCAGTGGAAAAAAAGCCCAATCCTTTTTTCCTCATTTAGATTTCTTTAGCCACAGATAGGAGAAGCTTTGCTGGTAAGAACCTGCTGTGTTATGCAGTGACCATCTCTGTTCTGGCCTTGCCACTGCACAGCACCCTGAATCCATCTCCAACCTGACCCACAGCATCACATATTGCTGCAGAAATTATTGCTGTGTAGGCCAGCCCGTGGCAAATCCATTTTTCCCCCCTCTCTGCTCTCTTTTACACCCCTTGCTCTCAAAGAGGGTGGAAGATGTTGGAGTGCAGCAGCCAGGCTTGGGCTGTCATCCCTGAGCTTTTGACATGCATCGCGGTATTTTTCTCTTCAAAATCCCACTCACAGAGGGAAACCTGTGACTTGTCAGCTGGTGTGCCTTTGAGGAGACAAAAGGGGATGCTCTTGATTTGAATTTGAATCCTTCAGCTCCTTGGTGCTGTGGGGGCAAGTCCTCAAGCTTTTGTGAGACCAAATAAGCTGTTTTAAAGCCCTTTAAGGCTGATTCCAGGCATGTTTGAGGATATTTTTACTCCTCAGGACACGGGGGTTACTTGTCTTTTTCTCTTTTATTCTTTTATCAAACAAGACAAGGTCGTAACATGGGTATTATCCTGGCCTGGGGACCTAACTGGCCCTCATGCTCAGGACTTCTCTTTTGAGCTGGATTTGACTGTAGCAAAATGCCAGATCCTACGGTCTGAAGCCAGTTTTTGAGCATCCTCCTCCGTAAGAGCCGAGAAGAAACTGGATTTGCATGATGATTACTCTTGCTCAAATTTTGAACTGATGATTTTATTATATTTCTTGTATATGGCCCTAGTTTTGAGTGAATTATAATTACTTAAAGACAGATGCTTTCCTGAAAAGCTCCCAGAAAGCTTTTCTGACTGAGCTTTAGCTCGTGCACTGGTAATAAGCAAATTCCCCACAAGCCCTGAGCCCTCTTCAGCCAAAGAGTTGTCCCCATTGACCAGCACCACTGTACAGAGCCACCACTGTGCATCCACCTGTGAACCAGCAGCCCTGACCCACCTGGAGCCCCCCTGGTTCAGCCTCAGAGTGGAGGGACCAGGGCTGACCCCTCCTTTAGATTGGGCTGTTCCCATCCCCATCCCTTTCTGTGTCATGGAGGGTCAAATACTCTGGTGAGAGTCAGAGGGGTTTCACTGCATGAGTTGTGTCAGTCTCTTAAAATCAAACCTTTTAAGCCTGAGCGCTGGACTGCTCTGTGTTGTGACACAGCCCTCTGAGGCAGAATAGGGATATGACTCCAAGGGAACAGCAGCAGGGATGTGTGGCATCTGGGGGTGCCTTGTGCAACCCTGAGAACTGGAGCCTCATTTCTACACATCCTGAGTGTGGAGACTTGAATTTTGTGGGCAGGAGTGGCCCCTAATGGTGCTCGTCCCAGCCCAGCCCTCCGGTACTCACTTCATCCTAACAGTCGAAGATGGACTTTGGACAAAGGCCTGGAGTGACAGGACAAGGGGGAATGGCTTCACACTGACAGAGGGCAAGGTTAGATGGGATATTCGTAAGGAATTGTTGGCTAAGAGGGTGGTAAGGCCCTGGCCCAGGTTGCCCAGAAATGCTATGGCTGCCCATCCCTGGAAGTGTTCAAGGTTGGGTTGGATGGGGTTTGGAGCAACTTGCTCTAATGGAAGGTGTCCCTGCCCATGGCAGAGGGTTGGAATGACGCGATCTTTAAGGTCCCTTCCAACCCAAACCATTCTATGATTCTACAAATTCCTCTGGGAAGGGCTTGTTGAGAGACTGGTGCTACCTTTCCTCTTTTTCCCAAGCTGTCAAACGAAGCAGAGGCAGCACAAAATAGAAGGTCCAAGTGCTACAGCCCTCCTTTGCCACAGCCTCCATTTGGGAGGCTTAAAGCTCAAGTCAGGGACCTCAGGAGAAAATCCTTAGCAGCAGATCCTTGGGGACCTGTTGTGTGTGTGCCCTGTCCCCATGCAATTGTTCTAGTGTTGCTCACAGAGCATCAGCCAGGCAGGGCAGTGTATCTCTGCCTTCCCTACAGAAATAGATGGTGCCCCTTGGCTGGAGGATCTCAGCAGATCTCCTCAGGACAGAGCTCAGCTGTCGCAGCAGGCAGCTCCCTGACAGTGTCTGCTGGTGTGTAGCTGCGGTCGGAAACTTCGGAGCTTCCCAAATGTCAGAGGAACAGAGCGGTTGGGCAGTGCTGATAACGTCATGGTGTACAGTTTCTCTATAAATCACTTGGGCAGCCTCATCCAGATAGTGTGTGACATCCCCATCGCCCCATCTTGGAGTGGAGATAGGGGAGCACCAAATATTTAACAACACCAAGGGAATTACACAAGGTCTCGGCAGTGGCTGGGGAAAGGGGAAAAGTTTTGCTCTTGGGAAGGTGCTGAATCAGAGAAGGTTGGATTAGAAGCCACTGAATGATTTAGAGAGGCAGATCTCCTGCCTTTCTGTGCACAGCAAAGGCATTGAAAGGCAGAAGGGTTGGAGCTGATGAAAAGAAAACACATTTTGTGCAGCAGGTGGGACCCCCTCCTGTGGGATGATGGCAAAGCCAGGAGACCCTGGATGGGTATCAGTGGTATCAGGTTCAGAAATTAGGCAGTGCCATATGGTACAGGTGGACCACAAGTATGACTGAGCAGACCTATGCAGTAAAATTATGCTAATTTTCTTTTTTTTTTTTTTTTTACTAGATTGCAGCAACAGTGGGACAGTCTCCTGATGATCTAAAACACCCAGTGTCTTGTCCAACCACAGAGTCTGGTCAGCAAGCCAGTAAGTTAGAGGAGGTCAGAAAGGACGTGCCTGTCTGCCAGGAAGCCAGGGGGGCTGTGAAAATGACAAATCCTCGGCTGAGGCCTCAGGAGCCACCAAAGCCAACAGCACCTTCTCCAGACCACGTACAGTCCAGCAAGGAGCACCCACCCCCCAGGAAACAGGCAGAAAGACATTCCCGTGCTCTTGAGGGCAGAGAGACTCAGCAAGGACTGTTAAATCAAGAGAACAAAAGCCAAGGCAGAGAAGAGCCATTGCTAAAAAATTTGAGTCCTCCAAAGGATAAAACTGGAGAAAACACTGGAGAAAATGTTTCTCGTGAGCAAATCCCGCATCAGACAGTCAAGGATGGGAAAAGCAAAGAGGCAGGAGCAGAGCTGTCTGGGAGCCATCCTGGTGTGAGGACAGGAGGGAGTGGTGAAGCAGAGCCATGTCCTGGGGCTGGGCACAGGGAGGCAGGAGGGACAATTTTGGGGCAGCAGGACACTGAAACAGCAGCTCCTCCGTCAGTTCCACTTGCCAAGGAAAAGCTGCTTCCTGCTCCTGCAGCAGAGCCGTCGGTGGCTCAGGAGGCACTGCTGACAGCTCATGGAGCCCCAGGGATGGAGGCCACCACAGGAGAGGTCCCATCTGGAGCCCAGCTGCTTCCTCCTGTGAGGGGAGAAACGGAAACCACAAAGACAGATGGATCTGCCCCGCAAGAGACGTTTTCAGCCAGCCTGTTAGGAGAGGAGAATGCCAAACCAGTGCCCGTGGGACCTCAGGAGAGGGAAGGAGGAGAGCAGACAGCCACAGCTCCATGCCAGGGACCAGCAGCACCTCCAGGGACTTTTGAAGGAGGTGCTGAGGTCCAGCCACAGGTACCGCTGGTCCTGCCTGGCCCCGAGAGATGTCAGGAGATGTCTTTGGAGGAGAAAATGCAGCACAAAAACCTGGTTTCCTCCTTAAAGAACTACCTGCTGCTGCTTCTAAAAATGTCAGATAGCAGTAAGGATGCCACGAAAGGAGACACTGACGCTGGGGACAAGGAGCAGCCAGATGCAGGGGAAGGCATGATGCCAGAGATAGGCATTGCTGGGCTGAGCCCTCGCACCTCAAGGAGAGTTTTGGAAAAGGTACAAAACAACCAGCTCTTCCAGACAGCAGAGAACTTGCCTCTGACCCCCAGGACATCCAGGCGGATCACAGGCATGATCAACGAGGAATTTGTCACCAGCCAGGAGATGCTGGCTTGCAGGCCTGTGCCACCAAAGAAACGCACCTGGGTTGCCCCCAAGGCCGAGGGGCCGCCCCTGCTCTCTGTGCCCTCCATTGTGGTGGGCAGCATGTCAGCATCAGGAGCAGGGCAGCCTCCTCAGTCTTCTGATTTGCCTCCAGTGAGCTCTGAAGAGAGTCCTGGTGACCCTCTGGCAGTGCTACCTTGTGCCACACCAGAAGAGCTCGCTTTGGGAGCCCGGCGCAAAATATACCTGCCAAAACCCAAACAGGTGGGGGAGGAAGAGGAGGCAACCCTGGAGAGCCCGGGACACATGAGAAGTCCCACTGTTTCACCACAGCAATCCAGGAAGAACATACCCCTGTTGCATTCTCCTGCCCTGGCTCCATCCTCTCCCACAGAGCAGTGCTCGCCAACCCTCACGAGGAAAATGGCCACGTTGGAGGTTCCTAAGCTGTACGAGGAGCCTGCAGGTGACACCAGTGGTGACCACGAGGTCTTTGGAGATGCTAAGCCAGAAGCACAGCCAGCAGAGTCCCAGAAAGCAAATAACCCATTTAAAGGTGAGGGAGGAGCTAATCCCCATGAACCGTGTTCTGTTGTTGCCTGCAAAGGGAGCTGGTGATAGTGAGTTGGGGCCACATGAGTTCTCTGCACTTGCAGGGTTTTCAGCATTGTCCTTTGGCTGTGTGAAAGCCAAAAGTCTCCCCCAAGACTTCTGCCCAGTGCAGGGAGGGTGGAGGAATGCAAGAGGCAGCAGCACTGAGACTGGCTGTCTCCACAACCTGGACTTCCCTGGTCCAAAGGATCATAGAAGCCTCTTATTGTTGGTCTCCATGTTCTGGTCCTCACCAAACCTGATGCTAGTTGGGGATCCTGAGCAACCTGGTCTAGTGGGAAGTGTCCCTGCTCGTGGCAAGAGGGTTGGAACAAGATGGTCTTTAAGGTGCCTTTGAATCCAAACCATGATTCTGATTCAGTGGGCATCGGCGAGGTGCACACTCCTCTTCAATATCCATGGTCAATGCTAATTTGATCCCTCATGGCACTGAATTAGAAAAGGCATAATCCTGGGGTTGAAGGAGATGATGCCCTCACAGGAAGCAGCACTCTTGCAAAGTAAGAATAACCTTAATAAATCCCCACTTCAGTAGATGAATGTTTCCTCCAACATTCCACAGTGTTTTCGGCATTCTGTCTGATCAAGCCCCACTGGGTATTGCAGTGCTGCACTGTTGAATGAATTTGTTCCACTTCTATCCTACCTTATTTATCCAAGCGGAGTTCCGAGACCTTCCCTGGGAGGGCAATGTTCTACCAGGCTGTGCTGACATATGTGTGATACCCAACACCAAAGCCCTGAGCAGCAGCATTGGGGTAGGCTGGCCTGTCCCTGGAGCTGCAGCCAGCACTCTGTGTCTCACCATCCATCTCTTTACACCCTGTCCTTAGTTCCACAGGTGGTCCGTAAGATCAGGGCAGAACAATTTTCCGATGCATCAGGAAACCTGAAACTTTGGTGCCAGTTCTTCAATATATTGAGTGATTCTAAGCTGATATGGTACAAGGACGAGATCCCTGTAGCTGAAGCCCAAAGGAGGTAACTTGCCAGCTCTGCATCGTCGTAGTCCTTGTGTGTCACCTGCTAAATCCAGCTTCTTGCCTTGACTGGGGTGTGAAAGTGCCCCTCTGTTAAGGCTGCATGGGAAGCTCAGTGCGTGGCATGGTACGTTGTGAACTTCATCTTCTCAGGGCCCTTGGAGGGAAAGATCGCCCAGATGGGGAATTGCTGCCAAATTTGTCCTATTGATGCTCCATCTGGAGTGTGTGCTTTGAGTATCCAGACCTTGGGAAGCCAGGGAAGGTATTGTGCCCATCACAGTAACTGAAAGGTGGATGCAAACTGCAAAACTGTGACCCCAAATGATCCATGTGAGGGTGGCAGCAGTGCTGGGAGGGTGTTCGATGCAATCACTGCTGGCAAAAGCAGCTCTGGCCGTGCCCTCTTTATCCCTTGGTATTGCCATTGCGCAGGGACATCTGGGTGGCTGGATGTATCCTGGATGCTCCTTTGGGTGCACTATGGAGAGCAAGTTGTTCTCAAGCCCAGAGGATTTGTGTAGGAACATCATGTGCATCAGTTAGGATTTGCCTTTGAGCGTTGCTTGAGCTGCCTTTATAATGAGCAGGCAGAAAGAGGTGATTCTGGGGCAGAAATGCTCTTTTGTGGCAGATCTTTGAGCTGGGGCAGATGGACCAGGAGTGGCCATTGCCTTCTAGTGGACCAGAGCAGAGCCTGCTCAGCCAGCAGGTCTCAGGATGAGGGTCCCAACTCTTACTTCTGCAAAGCCTTGACCCAGCCTCACTCAGAGGCAAGTACCTTTATGTCTGTAGCCCAATCCTGGCCAGATTTTGCAGGGCTTGCCTGGAGGAGGAGCATCTCTGTGAGCACAAAGCACAGGGCAGGACTCCTGGTGCCATGACGTGCCAGGGGAGCAGCTGGGATGCCCTTGGGCTGGCTTTCTTTGTAGCCCTCTTCCAGCCTCCTGAGGGCAGCATGGTGCTCACCCACAGCGCCTGTCACAGGGCTCCTGTGTGCCCCCACAAACCATACGGGGCTGAGGCCATGCTTCATTTTTTTCCCAGTGCTGGCGACGAGGGCCAGGCAGCCCTGGCTGTTGTGCAGGCGTCCCAGAAGGACTGCGGGGTCTACCGGTGCGTGATCAGCAACGAGTACGGCACCGACTCCACCGATTTCCTGCTCAGCCCAGAAGGTGAGGAGTCCTCAGCAGCCTCTCCCATCTGCCTGGCTGTGCCATGGGGTGGTGTGGCCAACTGTGGAGAGGGCTTGGTGCCAGGCTGTGGTGGGGGAGCCTTGCACATCCCGTAACACCACCTCTGTGAGGGGCATCTGCCTCTGTGTACTAATTTATGAGTGATTCCCACCATCCTACTTGCCATCCCTAGTCGTGCAAGTGCATGGGGCAGGGTGGGATCCTGTCAGGACCTTGACACCTCTTTGCTTTCTGTCTCCTCTAGTGTTGTCAGGATTTAGCCTGCGGGAAGAGATTGAAGGTAAGGGCCATATGTGATGAGCTGTGACCGCTGCCCCTCGCTGTGCGGGGGACGGGCAGCTCCGTGGAAGGGGCAGGACGTGCCCACGTTGTCCCCACTCACCAGCACTTCCCCCCAGCAGTTGGAGAGGAGATCGAGATGACGCCCATGGTGTTTGCAAAGGGTTTGGCTGACGCAGGCTACTGGGGGGATAAGCTCTTCGGGCGCGTGGTGAGCGAGGACATGGAAGTGGGCGCTGGTTTCCTGCGCAAAGCCTGCCGTGCCAGAGCCATCTATGGCCTGGAGCCCATCTTTGAGTCTGGCCACACCTGTGTCATCAAAGTGCACAATTTCATTGTCTTTGGGACCAAGAATGAGAACAGCCTCATCGAGAAGAACTACGATATCACCATCCAGGTGGGCATCCTTGTGGGGCACCATCCACCTGTCTCCCCTCCACCCTCCCCATCTGTGTAGGTTGGTCCCCAAACAGTCCCCAACTCTGTGCCCACTTTTGCTATTTCCTTCCACTTTCGGAATGCTCTGAAGAGCAGTGGTCTGGTCGTGTCCTTGTCATTCTTGGCTTCAGCTCTTCTCTCTGAGCAACACAGAGCTGCTTGGAACCTTCCCATCACTTGTCCTTTGAACCACCAGGACAGGGAAACAACTGGCAGTAGTCCCAGGGAGGTGTTGGTGCGAGACAGGACAGGTCCTTGACTCTTCTGTTTGCACCTCCAGGAATGTAAAGTCCAGAACTCCAGCCGTGAGTACTGCAAGATCTTTGCCGCCGAGGCACGAGCCGTCCCTGATTTTGGAGCAGTGCCCGAGTAAGTAAGGTGCTGCAGCTCCACTGGCTTGATGCCCTGGGAGAGCATCCCAGGAATTGTGGGAGGGTTCCCTGTGGGTGCCGGGGCATCCCAAAGGACATTGCACTGTTCTCCCACCCTCAAACAGAAGGGATATTAGGGAAAGGCAAAAGCCAGGGATGCAGACCACGGTGTGAACCTCTGCTTGCAGCAGTGGGAGAGCTCACCATGCTGACCCCATCTGTGCTCTCCCACACAGGATAATTCCACTGTACCTGGTTTATCGACCGGCCAACAACATCCCTTATGCCACAATGGAGGAGGACCTGGGTGGGCCCTGTGAGCAGTACTGTGTCACCGAGAGAGACGGCAGCTTGGTAGCAAGAGGCACCTCGGAGATCGTGCTCAAATGCTGCACCTTCCAGCATTGGGTCTACCAGTGGACAAATGGAAACATCCTTGTGACTGACATGGAAGGTAAAGGGATCTCCTGTCTGACTCCTGTGGCCTCTCACCACCCTCCGGCCTGGGAAAGGAGGAAAAAAGCTCCAGCCTTGCCCTCCTGCCTCTCTCCCCACATGCCATGGAGCCCAGCTCCCAGGGCAATGACCTGCCCTTGGTGCCAGTGCCCATCCTTCTCTGGACAGAGCCTAATTGTCCTTCTTTTAATTGCAGGAGTGGGCTGGAAGTTGACCAATGTGCGGATCGCTACCAACCTGAAAGGGTGAGTGACCCCGAGCTGCTGGGGCAGCAGACCCAGCTCTGCTGCTCACCTGGTAAAGGGCCGTGGTGGTCAGTGTGGTCGGGCTCCATCCTCGGCTCCCTGCTCTGATGGGACATCTCCTGGTGCAAAACAGGGCCTGAGGATGACTGTGTTGGCAGGTACCAGGGGCTGAAGGAGAGCTGCTTCCCCTCCCTGCTGGAGCAATTCCCGGCTGCTCACCGGTGCAATCGTTACTGCAGCATCCTGGGCCTGAAGACACTGGAGCCAGCCAAGCCCAAGGGCTCCAAGAGCCCCTCCCTGGGCAGGAAATCTGCCCAGTCCAGTCCCCAGCTCCAGAAGAAGGCGCTGTCAAGTCCTCAGGGCACCCGCAAGGCTGCTGTGAGCCCCAAGAGCTCCCGGAGAGCTGCAGGAACAGGGGAGGCCCCGACAGCCTCCAAACCCAGGTTGGGAGAGAGCAGCAGGGCTGGCTGCCCACAGTAGCCGGAGCCGCTGCAGCTGGGATCCCCACTCTGGACCCAGCCTGAGCAGCCCCGTGGCCAGTCTGGAAAAGGGAGATCCTGGCAGTGGTCTCTGCCAAAACTCTCCTCCCTCCAGCCCTGCCCTGGCCCGCAGCGCTTGCGTTGTGTGGTGTGTGTTAGTGTGAGCGGCTGGACCGGGGCTGTGGGGGGCTGTGAGCTGTGGACAATGGGGACCCCTCACCAGTACCTCTCTACAAGAGCTGCTGCTGCTGGTGGAGCCTGTGGGGCCACGTGCCCGTCCACACTGGGACTCGCTTTCCTGTCTTGACTCTCTCCATGTGCCTTCCTTAAGGCAGGGGCAGAGCTGCTCCCTTGGGCTTTGCAGGTGCCATGCCCCTGCCTGGCTCCCCCAAGCAAACTGGGAGTCTGGGATGTCCTCTTGGCTCCCAGCACCTCATGTCCCTCTCTGTGTCCTCCATAAAGTGACCAGGCCAAGCCCTGCCAGTGTTCTGTCCCTTGAGAACCCCAACAGCACCCAGGCAGTCCCATTTGCCCTGGTACACTGTTTTTGCTGCAGAGGGTTTCAGTGGTGGCTGCAGGGCTCCTCTGCTATGACGTGGGGCTCTGGAGTGCGTGCCAGTCCCATGGCGGGTACCAGCAGCTGCACAGGGAAGGGATTTTGCACCCCTACCCTCCCCTGTGCCCTGTGGGAAGTCTCCCACCCCCTTGCTGGGTGGCTGCTGAGGGTGATGGTGCTGCTGTGGTGCTGGCCAGCGCCATGGTAAGAATGCTCTACCTCACATGGGACACCCAGGATCAGTGACCTCCCCTCCGTGCCAGTCTCTGCCTTGGCACATGTGGGTGTCCAGCCCTCAGGACTTGCTCCTCTTTGTCCCCCTGCCATACAAAGACCCTGTATACCACGCCCAGCCCCACACCATGACCTGGTCATGCTTAATTAGCATCACCCCTGCTTGGCACATGCCAGACTCCAGCGGCAGCTGGCAGCACGCACTCCAAATCCTGCTGTCCCGTGGCAGGAGGCAGTGATGGACAGGCAGTGATGTTCATGCTGGAAAGTAAAGCACCCTGCATTGCATCAAGCTTCCCTTGTGCCTGTCAGCTCACCCAGGCGTGCAGCAGCCGGCGGAGCGTGGCAGCGGGCAGGGGCCTCACAGAGAGCCCCAGCACTGTCGGCTTCGTTGTGCTGCAGAGCATCACCTTCCCCGGGGTGCTGGGTGCCAGCGACGTCCCCCCTGCACGGTGGGGTCCCAAACAGTGACTCGGTGCAGCCTGGCGGAGGGAAGGGAGCGCCGTGCACGCTGGGGCCCTGGTCCTTTCTCGCTGGGTGATTGTAAAATACCGATGTACATAACGTGGCCGCATTGGCAACTGGGTGCTCTCGAGTGCAATAAAGTGAGGAGGACTGGCCTGTTCCACAGCACTGTGGTCCCTGCGGGAAAGATGCACCCAAGCACGGGGTGATGGGGCAGCTTTGTGCTTGGAGGAAGGAAACATCTTCAAGTACCACCTTTACCCCCATCCGTGCCCCACGGGGAGAAGAGGGTGGCTGTGGCCAGACCCCAGAGCTGGGAGTGGGTGAGGCTTGGCTTGCGAGGTCTGCAGTGAGCATGGGGTGCAGCCTCAGCAAAGCACCTTGTGCTGTGGTGGAACAGCTGCAGGCGGGAGCCAGAGGGGGTCTGAGGGCAAGCACATGGGGATGGCCATAATTTATTTGGGAGCAGCTTCCTTGTGTCCATGGGGCCAGTACCTAAGGGTGCTGGTTGCAAGGTGCACACAACTGTCCATCAGCACTTGGAGTGGAGAAGACAAAATGTTCAGGTGTCTGTCAGGATTTTTTCTACCTTTGGGGCCAGCCTTGCAGACCCTGGTGCCCCTCCCATGGTTCTAGGTTGTCCCTGCACAGGATGTGTGGTTGTAGTGCCCACAGCACTCTGTCAGCCACAGCACACTCTCCGCCTGCCCAGCCCAGGATCCCGTGAAGGAGAGCGTCCCGTTCTCGAACACCGAGCTGGAAGGAGAGACACGTGGTCAGGACAAGCTGTTGCCCCACCACCTGGGTCCCAGACAGCTCTGGGGCCCTTCATACCCACCTGGCAAAGAGCTGCTTGCAGCAGGTGTATATGGTGTAGCTGGTACTGCTGAAGTTGGCCGTGCTGAAGAACGTTACACAATCACCCACCTCCGTTGGCACATAGAGGAGACCTAGAGGACAAGGTCTCCTACTGGGACTTGAGAGGGACTATGGATTCAAATCCCATACCCCCAGCATACTTGTAAGTCCTGTGTCCCAACTCTGCTCACAAATCCCATAGCCCAACTAGCAAATCCTGTACCTGGGACTGTGCAGGTCCCATGAGCTATCCCACCTCACTCCCTGAAACTGCAGGGAGCTCCTTGCAGTACACCAGATGTTGCCCTTGAAATGTCCCCATCCCAGCCCAGATGAGGACGAGAGGCCCCAGGAGAGCTGTTGGGCTTCGGCAGCCCCTGGCAGAGCCATGAGGGGAGAACAGGGTTTGGAGGCCTTGACAGAGCCATGGGGAGGACAGGCCAGCCACCCCATTCCTGAACCTGCATCTATAGGGGTTTTCAGCCCTGTGCTCCTTCTGACCCCGCTGGCAGTGGGCAGGGACCTACCTGCCAGGCAGGCGTTGAGCATGGAGACGCAGATGCCGGTGAGCAGGGCCCGCAGCACCACGGAGGCAAACGCACCCTTGCGGTTCGGTGCCAGGGAGCCTGTGGGGCAAAACAGAGACCAGGAGGAGTCACATCTTGTCTCCGGCTCTACCCTTGGCTGGGGACAGATAGGGACATGTCCCTGGTCCCCAGCTGGCTCTGCCACGCAGTGCCCTCCCCACACCAACTCCTGCTGTCTGGAGGACATGGTGGTCCCAGCCAGCACCCAGCACACTGTCTGCCCGTCCTGGCAGCGGTGGGTGCTGGCAGAGTGCTGTGCCCACCCTGCACCCATGGGTGATCAACCAGAGCCCTCAGCGCTCCCAGCACTGGAGTCTCTGCTCTTTGTGCCATAGCTGGGTGACACCCCGACTAGTGGGACATGCACGTGTTCTTGCCCAGGGGTGCAGTGCAAAGCCATTCCTTTCACATCATGCAAATCCTGTTTCTTACCTGGCAGAGACCAAACATGGAGGCTTGAGGGCAAATTCCTCCTGCCCCAGATGAGCCCTTGCTCCCTAGCCCAGGATCCCCCTGCCTTGTGCCTAGGCACCTAGGACATGAGTCACACTCACCCAGGCCTCCCAGTATGATCCCAATGGAGCTGAGGTTGGCAAATCCACAGAGGGCAAAGGTGGTGATGCTCTCAGCTCGCTCCTGGAGGGCACAGGGGGATGGTCACCTCTGCCCAGGAGCAGCCCCAGAGCACCCAGAGCTGAGCACCATGTCAGAGCTCCCAGCCCAGACAGACAGGATGGAGATAAGTCCCCCACCCCAACATTTTATCCTTCAGCTATTTTGGGGAGCAAGAATGAAGGCTGTCCCTGGGAGAGGCTGGGCTGGGGGGACAGGTGACAGGGACCCTGTAGCACCATGATCTGTCCCATCAAGGAGCAGGATAAATGGGAAAGGGCGTCACTGACTCCTTCCTCCCATACCCAGCAGTTGGGGAACATCCAAGTCTAGTTGGCCACAGGTGCCCTCCCACCCCCAGCACCATCATCCTGATTCGATAATCTTAAAGGACTTTTCCAACCCTCTGCCTGCCTACCACCCTGGCCAGTTCCCATGCCCCATTCCAGCTGGTCTCATCCCTGCCCTGTGCCCAGCAGGGTGGCAGGTGCCTCTCACAGATATCCACTGTTTCCGGCTTCCATCCCACTCCTCCAGGCCCGCCAGACGGTTCTTCTTGTATGTGGACAGCTGCTGGTATGCCACAAACTCGTTCAGGAAGATCTTAATCCCCAGGAGCTCAGCCACCACCGGTGAGTCTGCCCAGTCTGCCCCCATGAGAAAGGCCACGGGCATGAGGACATAGGATAAGATCACCTGGGAAAAGCATTCCAGAAGGGAATGACTCAGAACGGACCTTCTGCATAGCCCCCAGCTTGGACACCCACGGCCAGCACTTGCCAAACGCTCAGCAAGGATCTCAACAGCCTACTAAGGCAGCGGGCAAAGGTGGGGATGGGTGGGGGATGCAAGGTCTGGCAGCCCAGACCATAGGCCTGTTCTTGGGAATACCTGGAAGGTGAGATCCTTGATGTCTACCATCTCCCCAAACCAGCGCACAGCAGCGTTGATGAACTCCAGCACCGCCAAGAAGGCGATGAGGTTGGCTGCAATGTTGGCCACGAGCCCCACGGAGGCGGCAGCCCCATTGCTGGCAGCTTCCAGGATGTTCCGCTCTTCCCTGTGTGGAAAAAGACCCCAATGTACTTATATGGCCAGGCATCCCCTGTGCAAGGTCAGGTGTCAATCCATGGATGTCTGAACAACACAAGCTCTCCCAGCCTTGGGCCACTCACAATGTCCACTTGTGCCCCAAACTGCCCCCACAGCTTCCCCACAGTGGCAAAACACTCCACCCCCCAATGCACTCCCACTCCACCACCTGTCCCCTCACACTCACCCACTGGCGATTCGGACACTTCCTTTGCCCTTGAACTTGGACTCCTCCACTTCGGGGTACACGAGTTTGGACATGGCGAGGGCGCAGGGTGCAGCCATCACAGAGGCTGCGATCAGCGACGCCGCGTCAATCTGCAACGCGCAGACCAGGGGCTTACACACCTCTGTGCAAGGCTGTGCCCCGTGACACACCACACCAGGGCATCCCAGCATGGGGCTGGCATCAGCCAGTGACACTTGGAGCAGTTCAGGGCTCCCTGTTTGCTCAGGGTGCACAAATTGGCTGGTTTTCCCATCTAAGCAGCAAAGCACATGGGGCAGCTCGCCTGGATGGAGGCATTGCTGGAGCTGCAGCGATCTTGTCCTCGGGGATGTTAACCTCTCCTGCTGTTTGACTTAATCATGATGGTT